AGTGTCAAAATTCAAAACTTGCATAAGTTCAAAATTTGTATAAAAATTCAAGACTTATATCAAAGTTAAAATTTGTTAGTTCAAAACATGTATAAAGATTTAAAACTTGCATCAAAATTTAAATATTTGAAACTTGCAATGGTTTTTCTTTTATTCTAGAAATTTTGGTGTAACGAACACCTGTAGATTTTTTTTTTTCAAAATTAATATCGACAATTCTCTCATTTATTCGCGAATCGTCAATTAAATCTTTCGTTAAGAGTTAATAAAATATAATAGTAGAATAGTTATTATATATACATCGTGTTGCAAAATCAAAATAGTGGAACAACTATCGCATCAATGAGCTTTACCATTGTTTTTGATTACAAGCTGAATCTTGGTTTTTCGATCAAATTAAACTAATTAGAAACGAACCAGGAATTAGATCTCACCTTTCTATAATAAATTGTTCCAATCTCAAAATCTTTGATAATTTGGTGCGGGATCCCCAGCTCTATAGGCCACACTTAAATTAATATCAAAAATAGATAGAATGAATGCTTGTAATTTGTTTGCCACCCATGTAATTTGTATCACCTTTATTCTCGCAAAAAAAACCAGCAACATTCAACTCTGTTATGCATTTAAAAGCAAAGAAGTAAACAACCTAATTTGAATTTCACACAATATGAATTTAAAATTCACATGAATTACGCTTCAGGTGCAAATATTCCACTAACCCAAGTGTTCACAGTCAAAAACAGATTTTTTAGATTTCAAAATCTTATATTTATCATTAAATAATAAATTTTCAGGTTTTAAATCTCTATGAACTATTTCTAAAACATGCAAGTAAGCAACACCTTCAAGTATTGGTCTAGCAATATTTGGTATCTGCCTCTGTATATGATACTTTGGGTAATAGTTGATTAAATAATTCATACAAATCATGTAATGAATTATATACAGTATAACGAGATTTTTTTTAGTATACTGAAAGCACCCGTTCCTTTCCTAATTGTGAGAGTTAATGTCATAAACTATTATAAAGTCACATTCTTTTACAACAGCAAGAGAGCCCTTTCCAAATAATTTCTTTGATACTTTATATTTATCCTCCAGTTCTTGAGGAAACAAAAAATATTTATGGAAATTAAATTCCGGAAAAATCAACAGCTCAAAAAATAATCATCTTTTCCAACTTGATAATGCTAAGTAGGCCGGATTTTTAAAGATGTAAGTGCGGTAAAGTTAATACTACACAGCCCAATCGTAATCATTATAATAATGATTACCGTTGAATTTTTTTAAACCCGGTTAAGAAACCGGGATGAAATTTCGCCGGCTGGATCTAAAGAAAATAAATAAAAAATTTGGTGTACCAAATTTTTTATCGTCTAATTTATTTATTTATGAAAAATTTATTAAAATTCACATATAATAAAAGAAATCATTTGACCACTTTAATTAAATTGCCTTTAGAACATATCAACAACAACACTACCATTCACCAGTGTCATAATAACAATAAATTATTAACAAAATTTCGGTATCAGCCTTACACTGTTGTTACTAACACTAATAATAGCGTTAGAAACAATCTTACTCGCAAATCTATTATTACTTGTGTTAGTAACAACAGGGAAGGAAAAAGACCCATTTTCAGCTCCAAGAGAGAAATCGAATCAATGGCAACAACAACAGAGATTCGATTAACTGAAGAAGAAAATAAATTAATAGATTTATTGAAGGAAGTAACTGAATATATGAAAAAAGAATGTCCGGAACTTCCTCATGTGCAACTTAGAATAGCTGGTGGTTGGGTTCGAGACAAAGTAATTTCATGAAATAAAGAAAGAAATATTTTAATTTGTAAATAATCTATCTAATTCTTTTGATTTCATTCCCAAAAAAAGCTTCTAGGATATGAATGTGCAGATTTGGATGTGGCGATTGATAAAATGATGGGAGTAAAATTTGCAGAACAAGTGATAAATTATTTGGTGAAATTTAGGGACTATGATGAAAAATTTACACGTTTACACAAAATTGATGTTAATCCTCAGAAATCAAAGCATTTGGAAACTGCCACAACAAAAATCTTTAATTATATGGTCGATTTTGTAAATCTACGAAAAGAATCTTATGGTGAATTAACAAGAACTCCAACTAGTATTGTGTGTAATATATGTATTTTTTGATTGCTAATTTACATCAATATATTAAAAATATACATTCACCACATTATATCTACCACTATTTAGTCACTTGGAACACCCGAGGAAGATGCATTTCGTAGAGATATAACAATAAATGCATTATTTTACAACATTCACACCAAAGAAATTGAAGATTTCACGAAACAAGTAAATACTCGTATAGCTCTAAACATTTATTATAATTTATTTTTATTCAATAATAATAATAATCATTATTAAGATTGCTTATTTATTTATTTAGGGTCTCAAAGATTTAAGCAATAAAGTGATTCGCACACCACTAGCTCCTTCTGAAACTTTTTCAGATGATCCACTACGTATTTTACGGTGTATAAGATTTGCTAGTAGGTTTGGCTTTAAAGTTGTTGAAGAAATCATCGAAACTGCAAAAGAACAAGAAATTCAAGTAAATAACAATAACAACAACAACAACAATAGTGTCATTTATTATTATATACAATAATATTTATCTTGTGTTATTATCATAGAATGCATTGAAAACAAAAGTTTCACATGAAAGAATTGGCATAGAACTTGATAAAATGATTAAAGGTAGAATAAATATGTTTCCCAATAACTTTTCACTTGTTCCTAATTCTCTTCCATTCAATTCATGCTATATTTTCTAAAAAAAAATTTTTTTAGGTCCAGATCCAACATATTCAATTCAATTGATAAATCAAATGAATTTGTACAACACAATATTTTATTCACCACCTGGAATATCATCTGGAACCAAAAAAAACCCAGATATTTGTATTCAACTTTGTAAAATATTGAAATGGATTTTATCATTATCATCAACGTCATCATCAACATCATCATTAGTTACCATTCATAGTGCTTTAATGGATACTTTGCAATCTTCTAAAGATATCAGATCATTGTATTTAGCAGCATATTTATTCCCATTTAAAGATTTAATGTACAAAGAAAAATTAAAAGAAAAGCCCGTGATTTATTATTTGATTCATGAATGCTTAAAGGTAATCTTTCATAATGATGGTTAATATTATTATTTTATAATATTTATAATGATTAAAATAAAGTTTTTTTTCAGCAAAGAAATTTGGATGCAAAAGAAACCGAAAGAATTTTTTTAGCAATAGATCCTATAACTGATGCACTACGAAAAAATTTCAATACTCCATTAACCAGATCTTCACTCGGTAATGCATCTCTTATTATTACCTTTATTCTTTCATATTATTATATATTAATATTAATATAATAATTATTGGATAGGTATGTTGATTTGTGATTATGCTAATTCAGAATGGAGGAAAATCTTGGTTTTTGTATTCGCTATTGAATTATTATCAAAATTTAAGGAATTGGAAATGGGTGAAGGTAAATAAACAAATATTGAATATTGAATATTTATTATAAGCTTTTTTTTATTATTAAGAAATTTAATTTAATTTAATTTTTGGGTGGTGGAATGAATGAATAATTAATAAAAAAGTGGACAAATTAAATGAGATTATTCAAAAATACAATAAATTTATTGACAGAATCTTTGAATTAAAATTGGAAAAATGTTATGAACAAAAGCATCTTATTGATGTATGTATACATTTTCATATTCTATTACTAATTCTCACATTACTAATTTTCATTCATTATTTATTAAAAACATTTTTAGGGTAAAATTGTATCTGAACTATTAAATATTAAAGGACCTGATATAAAAAAAGTATTAAGATCAGTTATGGAATGGCAATTAGAGAATCCAGAAGGTACACCAGAAGAATGTAAACAGTTTATTTTACAATGAATTTATTTATGAATTTGCATGTAAATGAGATGTTTATATTGTGTTGTAAATTAGTCACCAATAAATAATTGTTGTAATTAAAAAATGTTGTAACATGCTAAAAGATAAAATTATTTAAAGTCTATTTCTATCGAATGAAATAAAATTACATCTTCGATAAGCCGAGCTTTTGGGAAACACACAAAAATAGAATCTGCTTATCAAATTCGGTTTATGCAAAACGATTTTTATTAATTGTTCAAATAAATTCGGCTTAAACGTATAAAATAAATTTCACAAAATTATTTTTAAACAAAAATATCAAGATTGCTGCATTGATCTATTACTCTTATGACTTGATGATTTTTTTCTAAGCATTTTCACATACATTGAAATATCACTTGGAGGATATACTAGAACATTAAATAAATTTTCGACACCATTATATGTAATAAAAATTCCTGAAATAAGGTTTCATCCTGTTGCTCATTTATTCCTGTCAAGTCAATGTAATAAAATATCCTCGTTTTCCATTACTAGTTCGCCCGCAACCATTATTTAAATACTCAAATGGGAGTTAGTCAATTAAATCTTGAATTTCACGATTTTCTTCAAATTTTCAGGTAAAATGCCAGTATGCTTCCAGCAATTTTTTATTATTGTTGACGTTACATACTTTTTTTGATAATATATTGTACTAAAGTAATTGGTTATCTAATACATGAGCTATCTCATAAGCCTCAATGTAATTATGAACCAACAATTTTTTATAATGTGCTTTAAAGAATGAAAATTACCTGTTGTATAATACTTGGTAAAAAAAAAATCATTGCTTAAAGTATCTAAAATTTCATGAGAATGGCATATTGACCAAATAATAAAACTTTCCTCTGAGAATGTGTTTTTCCGAATACACCCACCCTCTTCTAAGATTATTCGGGGACCTACCTCGGGGTGATAAGAATTTCCCCTGATTTATTATTGATCGACGTTAATAAAATTTTACAAAAATGACAACCTCTAGTGACAATACTTTTAAAAAGCAACAAATAATTCTATTTACTCAGGTTGGCAAATTTAAAATTTATTTTTGTATCATAAAAAGAAGAAGGAAGAACTTTTAACTTTTATTTGAAACATTGATTAGGTGAAACCAATATGTACCTCACTTATGCAGGCTAGATTCCAAACACCTTTGAATCTTCAAGATATTATTCAAAAAATTATTTTACTACATAAAACTATTCAAAATACACCTAATTTTTTTATAATCAGTGATTATAAATTAATTGAATACATTACTCTTCCTTTGTTTGAGTTATATAGTGTAAAAGAATTATCAAAATGTGATAGGTTTCTTGAAGAGTATTTAAATTGCCTTTCTACTTTGTTATTATCTGGATGGCAAAAATTCATAAATTCTGACAATTTTCTTCAACTTTTCATTATGTTTATGAAAATTATTGATGGAATATCTGATGAATCAAGTTCAACCAATGATGAAAAGCAACAACAGCAATTACAACAGATAAATATGAACAAGAAAAATTCTGTCAAAAATCAAATGATATCAGAAAATACTAAATTAGCTTGTGTCAAATATTTGCTTGCTTTACTACCTAAGCCATCAGATCAAAACAAATACAAAGTAAGTCAAGAAGAATATTTCAAAATTCTACAATATAGAGAGTCAATATTAGATGATATGAGAGGAAAATCTGTGTTAAATGCATTAGTTGGTCGTTGTGTTTATGTTTTGTTGGGATATGTTGTTGAGGAACGACTGCTTGAGTTGAGAGTGACAACACTTGAAACTATAAAAAATTTAATCATTTGTGTTAATAATCCAGCAATTGTTGCTGTTTATTTACCAGGAGTTGTTAGTAAATTGAGTACTCTAATAGTTATTGAACAAAAAGAAAACCATTTGTTGTTAGAAAAAGCTGTTGAAACACTAGCTGAAGTCATTTCTATTGTCATGTTGGATGATGATGCTATCAATAAGGGATTGATATCTAAAAATGAGTCAATTAGTGAATTGAAAAAAGTCATAATTAACGAGTACAATCAAAAAAACAACAATTCTCTTAAAACTGAGAATTCAAAGAAATTCGATCAATCAAAAACATCAACAGCTGCTGATATTAATACTAATATTAATACCAATGGTGGTGGTAGTAATTTTAATAATGGTGGATTTATTTGTGTTGAAAGAAATTTATCTTGGTTGAAAGCTACTAAATCACAAATTAAAATATCTATTGCTAATACTCTTACTATTCGTAATCATCCATCATGGAAATTGCGTTTAGCTTTTGTTAACTTTTCATACAACTTACTTTCAAAATGTTCAAAAACTTTGGATGATTGTGTTCCGTTGTTAGTTGAAACTTTGGTAACATATTTAAATGATGAGTATGAACAGGTTTCATGTCTTTGTCAAATACATTTGGCAACTCTTCACAATGATTCAAAAATTAAAGATTCTTTAAAACTTATAATGAAAGAAAGCTTTAACACTTGGCTTACTTCATTGCCAAGATATTTAACTGGATTGGATGAAAATGCAAAGTATAATGTATTATCTTTATTATCAGGATTTATTTTATTTTTAGGATCTGATATTCAAGGTGTACTCAATTTGACCCTTGAAAGAATATCAGATGGTCTGCTTAAAGCCTTAGAATTTGACACCTGTAATACCAACATTATAGAAGGTAAATTATTAACAGGACAATATGATAGTATTTCACACGATAATGATAATGATAATGGTAGTGATAATGGTAGTGATAATATTAATCATGCTGATGTTGATGCTAATGCTGATGATGATGCTGATGATGATGCTGATGATGACAATGATAATTTACAAATTTCTTGTCAGGTTCCACTGAAACCTTTTCTTATGCCACATTTTAAACATATACATGAACAACATGTAGTCTTTTTTTTAACAAAGTTTATTAGATTATTAGGATATTATGGAAATATACATTTTTTAATTGACTTTTTTCTTTTATACATCGGAAATAGAGATTTCATAAAATTTCATCCACAAATTTTGTTTATTATAAATGAACTTTTACTTGGATCTGCTGGGATAAATTTAAAATCAAATTTAAATGATTTGATTGTGATGACACCAGCAAACAAATTAGAAGAAATAAAAAATGTAGCAAGTTCTTTATTAAGAGAATATATTGAGTTGGATGCTATAAATAATAATAGTGATAGTAGTGGAAATGGTGGTAATAATACTTTGAATTTAAATGAGCTAGTTAAAGCTGATAAACATGTTGATCTTTTAAAATCAAAGACAAAAAATGAAATAATTCAAGATTATTTATTAAGGAACAATAGTAGTAATGGTAATAGCAGTGAAATTTATGAGCTTAGCATTGAATTCCAAAATACAATTATCTTAATCAACTGTATGGTATTAAAGGGAATAGCATATATATCTCAAATTATGAAAATAGATTTTAGATTTGAATTAATTGATGCATTATATTTGATTTTAGAAAAAATGGGAAACAAAAATTTCATGATTCACGATACAGCAGAAACAACCCTATCAAATGTTTCAAGTTGTTGTGGATATAATTCCAAGAAATCTTTGATATTTGAAAATATTGATTATCTTATTAATATCATATCAAAAAAACTCAATCAAATCACATTAAATCCCCAAACACCACAAGTATTAATAGCTATGTTAAAAATAGTAGGAGCACCATTGTTGGCTTATTTGGATGATACTATCGAGGAAATTTTTGATGCATTGGATATGTTTCATATGAATGAATTAATCTTGGGTCAATTATTGACATCATTATATACAATTGTTTCCATTATATCAGATAATGAAAATGAAAATTATTTAAAGGAGGAAGGTGACAAGGATAAAGAAATAAATGGCAATAATAAAAATGACAATCATGATGTATCATTTGAAATTCAAGAATTTATAAAAAATTATAATTTCTATGAAAAAAAAGAAAATTCTGCTACTAAATCTCAAGAGAATCTAACCCTTGATGAGATTGGTCGTTACTTTTTGGAACGTCAAAAGGAAAAAAATGATAATGATCTTGAGGGAGAATCAGAAAGTGGTGGATTGGAACAACTTGAGGAAATCGTTAAACAAGAAGAAGAAAATCTTAAGGACTCTCATGACAACAAAAACAATAATGATAGTGGTAATAAGAGTTTAACACATTCACAAACATTTTGTCTTAAAATTATTGATAAATCATTTCATATTCTCGCATCTCCAT